TGGATAATTAATTATCGGGAAACTAAGAGAAAGCATAGAGCAGATTTTCCCCTGCTAATGCTTCCTTCTTCGTGCCTGATAACAACGTATTTAGCGTTCTTATTTTATGTGTGGAAATGATCAACGAACAAGATGTACAAATACTCCATAAACAATACACTGGATTTAGATTTCATTGATCAAGCAATATTCAAACATATTCTAAAAGGATTTTCTGATTATGCAGGTCATACAAACTTTTAAATGTATTAGAATTCAACAGCACAAGAAAGCGAATGTCCGTGATAGTAAGGGACGAGGAAGGAAAGCTGCTATTACTCAGCAAAGGTGCTGACAGGTTAGTCAATTGCTTAACTCTGATATCAGCTGTTTCCTAGACCACTATTTTTTTCTAATATCTAATCTCACTCCTTTTTTTGTCCTTGTTTTTGGCATTGCAGTGTCATGTTTGAGAGGCTTTCCATAAATGGAAGGAACTTCGAAGAGGAAACGAAAGAACATGTAAATGAATATGCTAATGCAGGCTTGAGGACCTTAATACTTGCTTATCGGGAACTCAGTGAGGAAGAATATAAGGAGTTCAATGAAAAATTTGTAGAGGCAAAAAACTCAGTCAGTGCAGATCGCGAGGCAATGATTGATGAAGTGGCCCAAAAAGTAGAAAAAGATTTGATTCTTCTTGGAGCAACAGCTGTTGAGGACAAGCTACAACAGGGGGTAAGGTTTTAAATTTTCTTACAGAACGGAAATGGACCAATATATAAAAATATAGAGATGGATATTAATTTTATTTCTACTTTTGGTTGTGTCAGGTTCCTGAATGCATTGATAAACTTGCACAAGCAGGAATAAAATTATGGGTTCTAACCGGAGATAAGATGGAAACTGCTATTAACATTGGGTAAATTCTCAGTACAATTTTTGTAAAACTAATTTTTTTCTCATTTTTTTGTCCCAAAATTGCTGACTCAAGATTTCTTTTTCTGCAGGTATGCTTGTAGCTTGCTCAGACAAGGAATGAAACAGATTATTATAAACTTGGAAACTCCAAAAATCATAGAACTGGAGAAAACCGGAGATAAGGATGCAGTCACTAAGGTACATGCATCTCCTGTTTTATTGCTTTCTCATTCTAATGGGGAAAAATGTAAAATACTGATATAAAAAACCAAGAGCATTTTAGATTGTTATAATATGCCG